ACATAGCAAGTTCCAGGACAGCTGGGGCTATAGGGAGACCCTGTCTCAAGAAAGACCAAAAATAAATAAATTAATTAATAATAAACAACAACAACAAAAAAAGAATCTATACATGTTTTAAAAATTGTGATGAGGGGCTGGAGAGATGGCTCAGCAGTTAAGAGCACTGGCTGCTCTTTTGGAGGACCTGGATTGGATCCCCAGCACCCACATGGTGGCTAACAACTTTCCTAACTCCAGTTCCAGGAGATCTGATGCCCTCTTCTGACCTCCACAGGCTTTGCATGACATGGGTGCATTTACACATGTGCAGGCAATATACTCACACGTGTAAAAACATTTTTTTAATTGTGAGGAATATACAACATAAAACTTAGTATCTTAATATTTAGTTGTACAGTTTAGTGACATTGAGTACATTAAATTTTGTTATATTTCCATTCACAGAATTGTTTTCATCTTACAAAACAAAGCTTGGTGTCCTATAAACACTAATTGTGTTTCCTCATTCCCCCTAGTGCCAGCAACCATCATTTTACTTTCTGTCTCTGAATTTGACAACTCTAGGTATTTAATATAAGCAGATCGTGTATTTGTCCTTTTGTAACTAGTTTAACTTAGCATGAAGTCATCAATATTCATCTGGATTAATATGTGTCAGAATTTACTTTTTTTTGGTCTTTTTTGAAACAGGATCTCCCTGTAGCCCCAGCTAGTCTGGAACTCACTATGTAGATGAGGGTGGCCTTGAGCTTACAGAGATCTGCCTGCCTCTGCTGGGTTAAAGTCATGTGAGATCACACTTGCCTGGATAAATATTTTTTAATCTCTTCATTCATCTATTAACATTTAGGCTCTTTTACCACTTGGCAGTTGCAAATGACATTGCTAGAAACATAAGTACATCTGAGTCATCCCTTTCATTACTTTGAGCATTATACATACAAGGAGAATTGCTTGATCATATATTCTGTTTTTAGTTTTTTGACTGCTCTACTGCTTTTTTCCATAGTGGCTACATATTTTATTTTTTGAATACCCAACTATCATTGACAGAATTAGACAAAAATAAATTCCTGTTTTCATGTTTATATTGGGAAGGAGGATGAGGTGGATGGTATATATGATAAATATGTATCATGTATATATATATAAAATAACATATATGACAAATAGCTTTGTAGAATTTGGCAACTGTGGAATAAAAAGTAAACCTGTAAGCTGGGTGTGGTGGTACATACCTGTAATTCCAGCACTCCGTAGGCAGAGAGTAAGACTCTTAGGACTGTATCTCAAGCATAGTACTTTCTAAAATATAATTTAATGATTTCTACTTTTTATCATACAGAACAAAGATTAGTTTACTTTTTTTCCTGTATCTTTTCTCTTTACCTAGTAAAGGCTCATAGATGATGCAATAATGTCTCAATAGCCATTTCATTTATCCAGTATCATTGTGACAAGAGTATAATTTTCGTTGCAAATGAAAACTCTTGGAATTCTAATTTTCAGTGTTCTTTTACTGCATTTAATCTGTTAATGTGGGTATGTGATAGACCTGTGTAGATGCATGCATGTGTACTACAGAAGGTCAGAGGACAACTTTTGGAAGTTGGCTCTTACCTTCCACTTTTTGTGCGTTCCAGGGACAGAATTCAGTGTCAAGCTTGAGCAGCAAGTGCTTTTACTTGCTGATCCATCTTGCTAGTCCCTAAGTTTTGTTTGCTTGTTTTCTTTTTTGGCCTTTTTGAGACAAGATCTCCCTGTAGCCCCAGCTGGCCTTGAACGCACTATGTAGACCAGGCTGGCCTCAAACTCACAGAGATCCACCTGCTTCTGCCTCACGAGTGCTGGGATTAAAGGCATACACTACCACGCCTAGCGCTTGTTTTCTTTTTTGACTCAGCATTCACTCTGTCTCCCCGTTGAGTCTACACCTTTGTACTCAACAACTAGGTTTGAAGAATCAGTATATGAACATCACTTTGTTTCTAGACATTTTTTAAAAATATTTTAATTATATTTATTTCATATTTATTTATTGCCTGCATGTATGTAAGTGCACCCATGTCATGCAGTGCCCTGGAGGATCAGAAGACAGAGTTGGAATTGGTGTTTCAGATGCTTGTTAGCTGCCATGTGGGTGCTGGGAACCGAACCTGGGTCCTCTGCAAGAACAGCCAGTGCTCTTAACTGCTAAGCCATCTCTCCAGCCCCCCAGACTATTTTTTAAAAATATTATTTTTATTTTATGTGTATGAGTGTATTGCCTGCATGTATATAGGTGTGCCCATGGAGGTCAGAAGAGGGTGTTGGATTCCCCAGAAAACGGAGTTACAGATGGTTGTTAGCCACCATGTGGGTGTTGGGAATGGAACCTGGGTCCTCTGCGAGAGTAGCCAGTGCTCTTAACCACTCTTAACCAAAAACTTAAAGTCTTAAATAACAGTAAAGATACCAGAAGATACTGATCATTGGGGGCTCTGTTGGAGGCTGGTTATCACAAAGACTCAGTGAGAAGGCATCAAGTAAACTTGGATTTATGTCTTAAACCCACAGGCCCTGCCTCCACAGCACCAAAATAGATCTGTGGAATGAGTGTAAAGAAGGCTGAGAACAGGTGTCTGTCATGGAAGGAGACCTTCTGACCTGACACCTACACTAGAAGTTAGAGTCCTGGGAGAGTGGACCCTGGAGTGGCTGGACCTGCAAACTTGAATCTGTCCCAGAACTGGCAAGATCTGAATGATAACATTTCATCCTTGAAAGATCAGCAACAGCTGTGTGACGGTGGAATGTTTGACCAAGATGATGGAAAGAAGAGGTGAGGTGCCAGACTTTAGGTTCTTGGGAAGAATTGTGTATTTAGGGAGGGTATAAATGCTTGGAAATTTGATACTCATCATGAAAGTTCACATGGGTATTATTGACTGTGCAGGACAGACATTTTTTACTTTGTTCATGTGACTGAGTTAAAAACTTTCTGCGTGTATTTTGTATGTATGTGCATGTGTGTGGACATGTGCATGCCACAGAACATATGTGGAAGTCAGGACAACTTGCAGAAATTGGTTCTCTTCTTCTACCAGTCCTGGGGAGCAAACTCAGGTTGTCAGGCTTGGCAGCAGGCACCAGCAGACACCTTTACATGATGAGCCATCTCACTGGCGCCATCCTTTTCTTAGAGAATGCATTTTAGTGTATTTTTAAAGTGCTGTTATAAACTAAAAATAGAAGTTTCCTCTTTCATCCCTCCTCGTCTCTGTTCCTACTTCCCAGAGGCAACCACTTTGAACATTTTTGCCTGGATATTCATTTCTTTTTCTCTTGAGTAGTATCTTTATATTGCTAATGTTTGATTTCTCACATTTTGAATTTTTCTGTTCTGCACATCAGGCTTTCTCTTTCACTATCTAATCCTCTCCATGTTGCCTCCACCCCAACATATTTTCTTGTTCTTTTTTATATCATACTAGACACTGACCAAATGTCAGGATCTGTAGGCATTTCCTTTTGGGCTACTTTCCACACTGACAGGTTCTAGACTTGTTTGATGAATTTGTTTGAGCCAGAATTCCTTCTTTTTAAGATATAAATGAAGGAAAGTGGGAGAGAGGCACTGTGTTTTTCAGCATGAGAATTTTCACTTACTATTTTTTTTTTTCTACATTGCTTCTGCCCTACTTTTATCTGGATTTGGTAGTTTCAAAATCCAAAAACTCTATTTCAGTATATATAGGGGAGAGGAAAAAAAACCATATTTTTTGTTGTCATGTTATTATTGTTTTGGGGGTGATATAAAGGAAATGTCACCATGCTGTATGAGCTGAAAGAACGCAGCAGGTGTTTTTTTTTTTTAAAGAAATTTATTTTATGGGGGCTGGAGAGATGGCTCAGCGATTAAGAGCACCAGCTGCTCTTGCAGAAGACCTGGGTTCGATTCCTAGCACCTACATGGCAGGTAATGACCATGTGTAAGTCCAGTTCCAGGGGAATATGATGCCCTCTTCTGACCTCTATAGGCATTGCATGACATAACTGCAGTTACATACATGACAGGCAATACATTCAACACAAAAAAATAAATAAAAATTTTAGCTGGGCGTGGTGGTACATGTCTTTAATCCCAGCACTCAGGTGGCAGAGGCATGTGGATCTCTGTGATTTCAAGGCCAGCCTGGTCTACATAGTTCCAGGCCAGTTGGGGCTTCAGGGAGACCCTGTCTCCAAAACAAAAAAAAAAGACAAAACAAAATTTTTTAATGGGACTGGAGATTCAGCTCAGTTATAGAGTGCTTGCCTAGCATGTGTGAGGCTCTGAGATTAATCCCTGGTACTGGAAGAGAAAAACAATAAGCATGACTAAACATTAGCAAGCCAGGCCTGGTAATACATCCCTGCAATCCCAGTGCTTGAGAGACTGGAGGAACTCAAATTCAAGACCACTCCGAACTTTATCATGTGACCCTGTATTAAAAGAAAAAAAGGGGGGGGGATGTTCTGATAAGAACCTGTCTCAAAAGTTTAAAAAAGTGTGTTCACTCATATGTAGGAGTAATGACATATGCTTGTAAATCCTAGGACTTAAGTGAGTGAGGCAGGAAGATCATCTCAAGTTTAAGGCCAATCTGGGATACAAAGTGAAACCCTGTCTCAAAAAATAAAAAACAGAGTGGGCAAGGTAGCTCAGCATGTAAGCATTTGCCACCAATCCTGATGAACTGAGTTTGATTTCCAGAACCTCCACAGTAGAAGGAGAGGACCCACCCTCACAAGTTGTCCTTTGACTTTTTCGCACTCACGCTGTGGCATGCTTCTACTCCCCGACCCTACATACACATGCATACACATACAGTAACACATAGATGTAAATAAAAAATGAGTAAATACATAAAATCAAGTTATTGGAAAGTGATATTACAATCATGATATTTCAGTTTATCATGTTCTACAATTCCTGTAGCCAATCTCTAATGAAAATTTTTTCTCCTAAATTCTTTATAGTTCACATCAACTTGTGAGATAAAAGGAGGAGGATCAGGAGTTCAAGCCAGCTACATACTGAGTTTTAGGTTAGCCTAGGCTATATGACACCCTGTCTCAAAAAAAAAAAAATTCTTGTTGGGAATAAAATAGGATATAAAGAAGTATTGTGCTGCTGTGTTGCCAGTAAAATTATTGGACATCTTATTAACCTCCCAGAAATCTTCATCAAACCAAATATGGTAAAATAAATTCTCCATATACATTTCAGTATCTCTGTAGATTGGTACTTAACATTTCCCGTGGTCGTAAGGATCATTCATTTATAAGGATCTTACAGCTATCTGGTAGTAAATATTTCCACATTCGTTTGTCTGGACCCTGAGGCAAATCTGTTTTACTTCTCTTTCCCCAGCTTGGTGTTCTCGCGACCCCACACTTTCCAAGGAAGAAGAGGACATGGCCGGGTCTTTTGTATGTTTTAAACATATTTTTTCCCTGCATTATTTTGCATTGTAGTTGTAAGGGGTTACTGTAATCTACAAGTAAGCTGGACAAAAATTAAATGAATGAAAATAAGTGAAGAAAGATATAGATAGAAAACCAGAGCCTTAGAAATGAGGTGTGGCTCTGAAGAAAACAGGTACATGCGGAATGATTCGAGTTGGGTTTAAGGTTGAACTTGATCTAGAGAGTCAAAGCAGAGTCCATTCCATAACTTGCAGTTTATGAAGAAAAAAATACTTAAGGAAAAGCTTTTCATTGGCACCTAAACCAAAAATAAATTCTAAAATAATTCCATATTTTTTTGTTGAATCAAGCTCAGTTTTCACAAGTCAGTCTTAGCTAAAGAAAAATTATTTAGAAAAGTAAATGGAACATAGATCTATGGATCTTCGGAATGATGCTGCATGTATACTTTTTTCAGTTTGAACTTTTGATAGCAACTTGAACTAAATTATGTAAATACTCTGTGGCAGTCTTGCAATTTTGATTTCCATAGCTTTCCAAATCTTTTTTTATAGTCTTAGAAGATGTCTTTCTTTTAAAAACTTTTTATTACATTTTATTTATTTGTGTGGAACACAAATGTGCTAATGTGCGAGTGTGGAGGTGAGAGGACAGCTTGTGGGGGTGGGTTCTCTCGTTTCACCGTTTAAGTCCCTGGGATTGAACTGAGGTTCTCGGGCTTGGCAGTAAGTGTCTTTACCTGCTGAGCCACCTCACTGGCCCAGTGCCCAGTAATTTTGTCTTACAGTGTTAACCTATTTTCCTCTGTTCTTGATTCTTTTGTTTCTACCTTTGAAGTGGCTCATTCTTTTATTTTAAATATTTTTTCTCTTCCTCTTTTTCTTCAGCTCTTACCTTATTTATCATGAAGCAGACACACATTCTTTCATACAATCTAAAGGCTCATCAAATTATTTTCTCATGTTGGTATAGTGGTTCTCTGGCCCTAAACAGACTTAAATTCAAATTTTGAGCAGTGACTATAAAGTGCATAACCAGGGATGGGCAAGTTTCTTAGTTCCTTTCTCCCTTAGTTACATCATCTGACAAAATAGGAGTTATGGGGCTGGAGAGATGGCTCAGCAGTTAAGAGCACCTGGCTGCTCTTGCAGAGGACCTGGGTCCAATTCCCAGGACCCACATGGCAGCTAACAACTGTCTTTAACTCTAGGTTCAGGGGAATCCGATGCCCTCTTCTGAACTCCATGCGCAGTGCACGACACAGACGCACTTATATACATGCAGACAATATACTCATACACATAAAATAAAAAATAATAAAATATTTTTAAATAGAGGGATTATAGGGCTGGAGAGATAGCTCAGCGGTTAAGACCACTGACTGTTCTGCCAGAAGACCTGGATTTGAATCCCAGCACCCACATGGCAGCTAACAACTCTCTGTAACTCCAGTTCCAGAGGATCCAACAACCTCTTCTGTCTTCCGTGGGCATTGCATGGCATGGTGCACTTACCTACATGCAGGCAATACATGCATATACATAAAATAAAAATAATAAATGGAATATTTAAAAAATAAAGTTAAAAAAATAGGGATTATAATGGAACTCATTCCATAAGATTGTCAGAGGGTAAGGGCACATAGTAAGTGCTCCATAAGTAACAGTATTGTATATTGTTACCAGCTATATTATCTCTCCTACCTGATTTGATTGTTGGGTATGCTGATTGCATTCATTTGCCTCCTCTTAGTTTACTCTGTAATCCAGAAGACAAAAGAGAAGATTGATTTATGTTCTTAAATTACTTCTTCAGTAAAACAACCCTGAATACTGTAAAAGGACAAAGCTAGGAATTACCTTTAATATCTGTCTACATACATACATATACACATATATATCAGGAACACACTAATAATTCTTAAAAATCAGTAATTAATCCCAGCACTCGGGAGGCAGAGGCAGGTGGATCTCTGTGAGTTCAAGGCCAGCTTAGTCTACATAGCGAGTTCCAGGCTAGCTGGGGCTACAGGGGGACCCTGTCTCAAAAAGACAAGAAAAAAAACAAAAAACACACATATATGTATGTGTGTACATGTGTGTGTGTGTGTGTGTGTGTGTATAATTAAAATGGAGAGGAAGGTGCTATGGTACCAGCAAGAACTCTGAAAATTTTAATGTTTATTGCCAAAGTCAGTTGTTCTGTTTAATAGGAGGAAGAATAATTAACAACTAACTCTGAATTTATGCTTTTTAGGTTCAAACTCGTATTACCATTAATATGGAAATTTTGGCATATGTATATAAAGAGAGTTAAAATATTAAGAAAGTATACTAAATTTTCAAGCACTAATTTGTCATTTTATACAATTAAAAATTGAGGCTGGAATATAGCTCTGTTGATAAAGTGCTTTCCTAAATGTACAAAGCCCTGGATTAGATCTCCAGCACTGTGTAAACTGAATATGGTGGCTCAAGCCTGTGATCTCAGCACTGGAAGGTGGAGGCAGGAGGGTCAGGAATTCACGGTCATCCTTGGCTACATGGCAAGTTTGAGGACAGCCTAGGTTATTTATTTCTAAGTCTTTCTGTCATTTGTTTTATACTTTTAGTCAGAGTTGCTAACTTTGTTTTTTTTGGTAAGCGATTTGTTCTAATTTGCTAGCTCTAATAGAAAAAAAAAATTTTTTTTTTTTGGTCCTTTTGAGACAGGGTCTCCCTGTAGCCCCAGCTCTCCTGGAACTCACTATGTAGACCAGGCTGGCCTTAAACTTACAGAGGTCCGAGGTCTGCCTGCCTCTGCCTCCCGAGTGCTGGGATTAAAGGTGTGCGCCACCATGCCCAGCTAGAAAAAAATATTTTAATGTTGACACCAATATTCCAGACGGATGATCCATTTCTGTAAGCTTCATTGAATGATTGGAAACAATGCAATTTTACAGATGAGGACATTGAAAATCTCAAAATTGGTATTTGTCAAAGTTATACAGTAAAATTTGAAGCCAGGATTTGGGCCTGTAATGTCAGAATCCATGGCTTCATTATTAACCAGTAAGAACCAGAAATCCAGCTTCATTAGAAGAGCTTAATACCTTGATTTTTTTTTTCAGTCAGGAATGGATCAGTTATCTTCCCACTTTTTCTGCTTTTGTAAGTAGTGTTGCACGTATAACAAATATTTATTGTCATTCTTGGAGTCCCCAAGTTTACTGTATGGGCAGCACTACTTGGGGCTGCAAACCCGCTGGGGCTGGTGTAGGCTGTGAGGCGAGCACAGGTCTGTTCTACATGTGGATGAAAGGGCTGCAGCTCCCTGGGTCAAGCTTTTTACTTTCTGTATCACTAGAGTGCATGAGTCAAGTTACAGAGTGTAAGCACAGCTTAGGCATTTGCTCACATGTCGGTAACACCCCTTTTACCTCAACAGATGACTCAGACAAGGCCCATATTAGTAGATGAGACATTAGTTCCATGCAACGTGTGATGATTTATTACAGTAACATCTAGTGAAATTATTTTTTGTAGTACTGGCAATCAAATCAAAGTCTTCGTGTATGCTAGACAAGTGCTATATACCAAGCTACATCCCTCGTCTATGAAATTATTGTTACTGAGATTTAAAAAATCTTAAACATAGGGAATATAGTTTTATAAGTTTTAAAAAAAATCTTTGATGGAGCTGGGCGTGGTGATGCATGCCTTTGATCCCAGCAGTTGGGAGGCAGAGGCACGTGGATTGCTGAGCTCAAGGCCAGCCTGGTTTACATAGTGAGTTCTAGGCCAGCTGGGGTTACAGGGAGACCCTGTCTCAAAAAGACCAAAAAAGAAAAAAAAATCCTTGATGGAGCTGGAGAGATGGCTCATTGGTTAAGAGCCCTGGCTGCTCTTGGAGAGGACCAAGGTTCAATTCCCAGCACCCATATGGTAGCTAACAACCATTTGTAATTCCAGGTCCAGAGACTCTGAGGCCCTCTTCTGACCTCTGCAGGCATTGTGTGACACAGGTGTACCTACCTACATGCAATATGCTCATACACATAAAATTAAAAAATTTTTTAAAAATTTTGACATTTAACTTACATTCCTTAAAATTACCTCAAGTATTCATGTTTTAACTGTATTTGCAGTCATAATCATATTCAATATTAGAACATTTTCATTACCCTAAAAAGAAACCCTATATTTGTTGACCCTCAGTTCCCACTTCCAGTGTTGGCAAACACAAGTATACTTTTATCTGTGTATTTTCTCCTTACGAACTTTTCATGTAAATGGGATCATAACGTTTTGTCTTGTGACTTCCTTCTTTCACTTAGTACGTTTTTTAAGGTCCATCTGTTTTGAAACTTGTATCAGTACTTGATTTGTGTGTGTTGTGTTTGTGTGTGCATGTTTGTATATGTGTGATGTGTGTATGTGTGCACTTGTACATGTGCATGCGTCTGTAGAGGCCAGAGATCATCACCAGGTATCTTCCTCAATTCCTCAGTGTTTTGAGACAGGGTCTCTCACCGAATCTGGAGTTCACTAATTTAGCTCTACTGGTTGGCCAGCAAGGCCCAGGGATTGTCTCTGCCTCCCCAGCTCTGGGATTACTGGTGTGGGCTACACCTGGCTTTTTATGTGGGTGCTGGGATCCACATTCAGGTATTCATGCTTACGTGACACACACTTTTCTCCCTAAGCCATCTTCCCAGCTCCAAATACTTCTTTTTTTTGAAGCAGAGTCTCCCTGTAGCCCCAGCTGTCCTGGAACTCACTATGTAGACCAGGCTGGCCTTGAACTCACAGAGATCCACCTGCCTCTGCCTCCCAAGTGCTAGGATTAAAGGCATGGGCCACCACACCTGGCATATTTAAACCTTTAAGGAGTCATCTCCCAGTTTTCCAAAATATTGGACCATTTGACATTCCACCTGTAGCATATGAGGGACATTTGTAATTTGTTCTTTTCATTATCACCATCTTACTGTACATGAAGTATATCTCATTGTGATTTTGATT